CGAGCCCTTAGGGTAAATAGACTCAGTCCAAGAGGCAAATATCCCCACTCGTATGGCAGACTGAGACCAGAAGGCCCCAGTGGGAGGGCAGCCAGCCCTGAACGAAGCGAGAGGTAGTAATGTAGCCACCTTCCATTCCAACATACCTGCTCCATGCTGACCTAAAGCCCAAAAAAGCTGAATCTCACTGCCCTCCTAGAATTGAAGCATTTGAATGTAGGGACTGAGTGTCTCTGCTCTGGCCTCCTTGCACCTCCTCCAAGGCCAAGGACAGTGCTGCTACTGAAGGTACTATCGATGCCTGCACTGAGTCATCTTCAAATAGTTCAGAGCCCCTCCATGTGTAAGGCACGTACTCGGTTAATACTTTCGCTATAGAGCCAACCGGTGGCACAGCAGTGATACAGTGCTCTGTGATGCTGGGCCCTCAGGAAAGATCCTGAGCTCTCATCTGAGGCCTCCCCAGGCACTCTGAGCTCAAGCGTACCCATGATCCCAGCTGGCTGGGGGTGGATGCAGCATGAAGACCTTGTTGAGGGTGGCCCCTCTTTCTTTCTCTGTCTCCCTCTCATGGAATAAGTAAATAAACTTTTTAATAATAATAATAATAATAATAATAATAATAATAATCGGGGAAGGGCCAGCAGGTGGCATGGTGGTTAAAGGTGCTGGATTCTCACATGGCAGACTGCTGTTCAAGTCCTAGACCCGGCAGCTCACTCTCTTACTTTCCCTTTCTCTCTCTCTCCATCTGGTCAAATTAAAAATAATAATAATAAATGGAATTAAGTAATAATTCTTTTTAAAAAAATTCAAAAAATGATAATAATTGGGACCAGCAGATAGCATAATGGTTACATCGCTGGACTCACATGTAGTCAACCACAGTTCAAGTCCCAGACCTGGTGACTTAAAACTCATGCAGGACACATGTGTGTGCGTGCCCAAAATCCCAAGAGGAAAATTAGAAGGAATTGCAGAGTAGCCATCCCCCCTGAGGGGTGATTTCTTGCTTTCTGTCTCATTGTTTCGCTCTGTCTCTCCAGCGAGCTCATGTGCCCTATAGCAAAAATCTCTCAAAACAAAAAAATGATAATATTAAGAATTTTACTAGAGACCAGTAGTTGGCATAACGGCTATGTCGCTGGACTCCCACGTAGTCGACCACAGTTTGAGTCCTGGACTCGGTGGCTTATACTCAGGCTGGGCGCGTATGTGTGTGTGCCCCAGATACCGAGAGGAGAATGGAGGAGAAGTGATTGCGGCGTCGCCATCCCACCTGGGGGGTGATTTCTCACTTTCTATTTTTCTGTCTCTCTCTGTCTTTCTGGCGAGTGCACGTGCCCTATAGCAAAAACCTCTAAAAAAATAATAATAATTTTACTATAGCCAATGCTTGGTAAACATTTACTACGTGCCAGGAACTGATCTGAACACTTTACATAAATTCGTTTAATCCTCACAACTCCATAAGGCGGATATTGTTACGATTCCTCATTGTGCAGATGAAGAAACATATAGGAAGGTTAAAGAAACAGCCCAGGGTCACAGAAACAGCAAGCATCCACAGCAGGGCTTCAAACTATGAACTGTGTTTCTACAGCCCTAATCTTAAGTAATTAAAAACAAAAATAACAACAACAACAAAAAAATTATGTCTCAAGATTAAAGTACTTAGCTTGGGGGGCCAGCAGATGGAATAGTAGTCAAGGTGCTGGACACTCCCATATGATCGACCAAGGTTCGAGTCCTGGACCTGGTGGCTTGCTTTCTCACTTTCCCCCATCCCTCCTCTGTGTCTCTCTCTGGTCAAATTAGAATAAATGAATGAACAAGTAAAATTAAATTAATTTTTTTTAAAAGTACTTAGCTTGGGAGTTGTTCTGTTGTTATAATTTCCTGCAAAAGCCAGTATCTGAGAGGAGCCCCTGCCCACAATTCCTAGCAGGCAGCGGGCTGCCTCATAGGCTACCCACAGGAGGGCTCTGAGGCCCCAGCAGGATCTTGGCTGAGTTGGAGCTTTGACAAGGACCAAGACTCCATGCCACCCAAAGGGAGGAACATGGGATGGAGGTGGGGCAGCTGTTGAGCAGCAAACGTAGAGTGAACATCGACACTCCTGCCACATCGTGAAATGATGGGGAAACACGACATGGGTTCTGCCAGGCAAAGCAGAGAATTAAGGCAACACAATAACCACGGGAAGCACTGTGCCAGGAGGCCAAAATTCTGGTCCAAACCTACAGTACACTGGGCAAGAGGAAGCTTCTCTAAACCTCAGTTTCCTCCTCCTTCTCCCCTCAAAGTGCCACCTACGACTCCCAGAAGCACATGCAGGGAGAAGCTCTCTGCTCCTTTCATATAGCAATGCTGAGCTGTCTCTGCCCACCACCTGCCCCAGCTCTCCTACTGCTTCTGAGACAAATTCCCACCAGCCCAGTGCTTCAAGCAATACAAATATGGGGTCTTACAGGACTCAGTTTCAGAAATCAAACTGGGTCCCCCGTACTAAGATCAAGGTGTCAGCAGGGCTGTTCCCTCTGGAAGCTCCAGGGGAAGGATCCATTTCCTACTCTCCCCAGCTACAGGAGGCACCCACATTCCTGGGCTGGCCCTTCCTCCACCTCCAAAGCTAGCAAGGGCTGGTGCAGTCCATCTCACAGGATAGCACCTTGACCTCCACCTCCCAGCACTCCACAGCCCTCTGGATACCTAGGGTCCACTCCCTGTCAGAGGTCAGCTGATTAGCAACCGCAATTACTCCTTGCCTTGGAAGGTGACATGCCCAAAGTTCTGGGGATCAAGACATGGATCTCTTTGGGGGGCCATAATTCTGCCTACTATCTCATCATAGGGCTTTCTGTGCCAGGGGCAGCCATTACATATGACTGAAATACCAGCTGTTACATAATACTGAAATACCCAATCACAGCAGAAGACGAGCCCTAGGAACAGCTCACCCATCATGGGCCCTCACCTCCTTCTCCAGTTCCAAGTCCACCAGGGTTTCCTGCATCTTCTCCTGGCGCCCCAGCCTTCTCTGCAGTCCATCCAGTTCCTCCCTGAGCAGCCCATTGGTCTCTCTCATCTCCCTGTCAGGACCAGAAACACTCAAACAGTCACAAACTCTGGGGATGAATTTGAAAGCTCAGGGTTTGGGACCCCTGTCCCTCAGGAGGCTACATGGTAGCTCCTTGTCCAAGAACCCACACTCCGCCTCGCAGAGGCACAGCACGCCCATGCGCCCTCCTTACCTCAGGCGAGCATTCTCTTCACGCAGCTGCTTCAGCTCCCGCTCCATCTTAGGGAGCCGCAGCAGCTCAGACTTCATGTTCTTCACAATCGCAGCATCCTGCTCTTGCAGGGACAGCTTCTGCTCCAGCTCCTGAGCAAGGCCAGAGGCAGAGAGGGAGAAAGAACAGGTAATCAGGCCGTGAAGAGACATGGAGGAGGCTTAAATGCATATTGTGATGTGGAAGAAGCCAGATGAAAAGGCTACTGTAGGATTCCAAATACAGGACACTCTGGAAAAGGCAAGATGATGCAGAGACGGAAAGGATCAGGGCCCAGGGGAGGGTGGGAGAAACAGGCACAGCCAAGGGTGTGCCTATAGAGCAATCCTTCCGACCACGGTCCCCCTTCCCACAGCACACTGCAGGCCCATATTCATGTGCTACCTGTCCTTGGGGAGTTCCCAGGGCAGGGACCTATCTCAGCATTGGCCCACAGATACTCGAGAATAGCACCTCTCACTCTTCCTATGTCAAGTCTGCTTCTGTCACTCTAGGAGCATGTGTGTTAATGACCAAGTCACTCCACTCATGAGGTCAGACTTTACCTGACAATGTCAGGCCCCCAGGGACACGGAATGACAGGTGGGATCCATTAGTGACAATTCACTGAACAGACTGAGACTATGAGGACAGGATCAAATCAATCATTCATTCAACAAACACTAACAGTGCCCATCTTTGTCCAGGTGCCAGGCAAGTAGCAGGACCAGAGTGGTGCAGTGATGGATGAGGCCTCTGCTGGAGAAGACAGGTATCAGGGCCTATAGGCAGGCGAATATTGAGAGGCGGGTCAAGGGCTGCAGGGACGGACGAGGGGCCTGGGAGATTTGGGCCAGGAGGCTTGAAGCAGTGGGGCTGGTTGAGGGTGCCCGAGGAGAAGAACAAGGTCAGGAAGGCCCAGAGGTCTGAGGGCCTGGCCGAACAGGCAGAACTCAGGGGCAGCACGGAGTCAGCCACACAGGCCTGGGGTTCAGCGTGGGGTTTGGATGTTACCCTAAAGGCAGCGGGAAGCCACCCAAGCCTCAGCAGTCCCCACCACCTCACACTTGCTGGGCATGTGCTCCCTGGAACCTGGTCCTTCCCTCTGACAGTGTCTTCCCTGGTAGAGTGGCATGGTCTACACTTGGGTCAGATAGACTTGTCTTTGAGACCTAGCTCAGTCACATACTGGCTGGATAACTTAGAAGCAACTTTTCAAGCTCTCTAAGCTTATTTTACACCATCTTCACAACACTCAAGAGTATTTGAAGTTACTACATTTACTTTTGTGTATTTGTGGTCGGTCTTCCTCTACCAGAATGCAAATAGAACTGTCTGTCTCCTTCACCATGCATCCCTGGCACCCAGCACAGGGCCCAGTCCACAGAGGATGCAATCAGTTAACACCACAGGAATCTCACTGTCAATGCCACCTGGGGTGCCCCCAGTTCAGACAAGCCTGCAGGTGGCAGGAGGGCCGAGACCACCACTGGAATATCAAGATACATACCCAAGGGCTGAAATGGGACAACTCACCTTAACCTTCTGCTCATGGTCTGCACTCACTTCTTGGCTAGTCTGGAGCTCCTGAATTCTCTGATTGGCTTCCTGCCATTTTCTATTGAAAGAAGAACACATCATGTGCAGAAATAGGAATGTGGAAAGACCAAGAATTCTCAACCAGAGTACTCCCCAGCTCAGACCCACAAAGGCATTCCTATTCTAGGGGTACCCCCAAGATCCTGGGCTCCAGCCTCTGCTGACAGGCTCTGAGACTTCAGCATCCTCAGCTGGATAGGACAGGGGGGTTAGAGGGACCACCTGCAAGGCCCTCTCCAGCTGAGGCACCCCACAGTGCGCTTCATTCCTCACAGCTGCTCACACCCAGGCATCCATCGACCCTGATGCGGGTGGAGCAGAGCCTCCTCAGGACTGTCCTCCATCCTCTGCCAAGGAGCCAGAATGCACCTAAGACCACATTTGCTAAGGGAGGCCAAACTCTTCCAAGGGTTTGCTAAGAATGCTGCTGTACCTCCAGCCAAATGCTCACACTCATTCCCTGTGCCGGAAATCTCTTCCTAGCCACGTCTCAGTCAAGTCAGGGCATGTCCTGCTCACCCTTCAAAACCTACTTCAATTTAACACCTTCTCTTGAAGTCCTTTACAAGAAAAAATGCCACCACCCCCCACTCCAAGAGGGAAAAAGCTGCTGCCAGTTCTAACTCCAGGGACACTCAGATGCCTCCTCCATCCTGGCTCCAGGAACCCTCAAGACACCCCATATCCTGGCTCTGGGGACACTCAAGACAACCCCATCCTTGTTCTCGGGACATTCAAGATGTCCTCCCATCCTGGTGCCCATTGTCCTTGGCTCCAGAGCTTCATGTCTGTCCCTCCTGAGTGGGTGGATGAGGACAGCAGTGTATGAAGGAAGCACCTAGACCCCATCCAGCCTACCCAGCCCCACACTCACTTGTGCTGCAATTCAAACTGCTCCTTCAGCTCCTGCTTCTCAGACTCCAGGCGCTTCACCTGCATCTCCTGGTCCATCACATTCCACTGCAATTCTGAGATCTTCCCCTTCAACACACTGATGGTCTGAAAGCAAGAGAGGGTACAGAAGAGCCACTCACTGAGGCTGAGCCCACCAACGAATGGAGTTGCACCTCTCACACAGAGACGGAGGTGGAAGGAAGAGCCTACTACCTTCCATCTGCTGCAACTGAGGCAGGGGACTGTCGCCTTCTCTTTGGGAATCCAAGCCTGGGCAGCCAGGGAACATGTAGCTAAGCAGAGGAGAGGGAGTCCCTAGCAAGGGTCCCCCCAGATGCAACACTCAAGAGTGCCCAGATTCCTGTTCCCCACATGCTGACAGAAGAGATCTAGATCACAGCCAAGACATCTATTGGGTCACTGGAAAAGTCATAATATGTTTTCTGGTTTTCTCTGCAAAAACGTGTCATGACCTTTCCAACAACCCGATAGAAAAGCTGGGCCCAGTAAGGGAGCTTGAGGAGCAATAGCTGCCACCAGCCCACGTGGGCCGGACTCTCAAGCCTGGTGCCTGGTGAGCTCTACGTCGGTGGCCCTGCTCTCACAACAACCCAGACCACCAGGCATCTGCACCCTGACCCCGTGTGGCCAGCTGTCTCCCCACCACACCTCTGCTCTCATCCTCACCTTCTCAGCACAGGATTCCTTCCCTAACTCCCCACCATGCCATCACTTCACTGTGTACCGAAGATGTTACCTATGGACAATAGTGAGGGACTCGCCAAGAAGTAGGAAACCAAAGACTGAGGTTGTGCCAGAACTGGGCTATGAAAGCCAAACAGGAGGAGAAACTAAAAGAAACCTTGCAGACAGAGAACTCCCAGGCTGGAGAGTGGGGCTGTCACCTGCCAGGAAAGCCATGTTACTTGAAAGAGGAGTGTTCAGAGCAAAGGCAGAGAGCCCGGGGTGGCAATCCTAGGGCAGAGCCAGAGCTGCAAACCCCAGGGATGACCCTACTGCCACCTTGTGCTCTGATCATATCTCACCAGGCAGCCTTCCAATGTTTTTAAGCCCTGTAGCTGACGTGGGGAAAGAGCACAGGTCAAACCAACATGAAAAGCCAGTTCACCTAAAAGCATTGCTGTAAATTAACACATGGAAATGCATGAGCCTCGTATCTACTCCAGGGACTTGACAAGCTAAGTGCAAGATTGTAGGCACCTGGCAAACTCACCAATTAAGAAACACCGATTGGTCCCTGCCTCTCTGCAAACAGGTCATAGCACCATGTCCCTGAGAACCCAGGCCTAACCCAGCACCCACTGAAATGTACCACACTGTTCACCCCAACCCCCTCTGGAGAAGCCAGCATGGTCCCATCATCAATCTGTACAGTTCGTCACAACACTGAGGTATCCATTTGGGAATCAAAAAAAGAATAAAGGTTAAAAAAAATATCAAATAGTGGAACTAAGTCAGTGGTAACAACATTCCTCAACGCTGAAGCTACATGGGTTCACATCCCAAGGTCCCCTTGTACATAAAAGGTACAGGCTCACATGCCCATGATCCTGGCTGCGTGAGGATGGGGATGAATCATGGCATAAAGATTCTGATGGGGAATCTGTTTCTCTCTCTCATCAGAGAAATAAATTAATATTTTCTCAAAAATGCCCAGTTTTTAAATACATACACATGAGATAATAAACATATTCTTTGAGAGGACTCACTCAATTTAAATATACACACTAAGCATGAGGCACAATGCAGATACAGGGGATGAGACATCGTGCCCTCATGGAGGACAAATATTGTGGACAAATCAGGCCACTGACAAGTAAAAAATAGATAACTTCAGAGAGTGGCAAGTGTCGTGATTCAGAACAGTCTGATAAGAAAATGTAGCTGCGAGAGAAAAGGATTATGACCATGGACAACTTCCATTAGTAGATGCTAAGGCATGAAAAAATAAAACCACTAACATTTGTGATGCCTCAACTGGCCTGAACCCTCTAGGCTGGACCCCACTCAGCATCCTCCCTGTCCTACCTACAGTGAGGGTCTCACTCTCCTCTGCCCTGCACCGAGTGCCAGGTATGACACTCCCTCCCCAAGGAACTGTGGGGCCTAACTGTCCTCTAGCACAGTCCAGAGCACATGGCCTGGGACCCAGAAGAGAGGCCAGTAAGGCGAGGCAGAGCAGGCTTCTCTGGAAGCCAATCACGCCTCCTCTCCTGCCAACACTCGCTTCAGAAGACAGATGTGGGAACAACCTTAACATGCTCCCCAGTGCTGCCAAAGCAAAAATAACCTGCAGCCTGCTTCCGAGGATCTATCAAGTAGAGAAAACTGTGCAGAGATGGAATACCAATGATCTGATGCACCCATCTCCCTCCCTAGCAGTTTTTCATCTGTTTCCTCTTGGCACCTGTGATCTTGAACACCACAGAGAAGGGACAGGAAAGGTCAGAAGAGTCCAATTTCCACCAGCACCAATGTGCAGGCTGTTTCCAAAACACCTACAACCTACATTGGACTACAGTTCATATCTGTTCTGGTTCAAAGATATCCTCAGATGCCATCAGAAGCTAATAGACCCTCCTGATAATCAAAGAAATGCAAATCCAGAGGTACATGCTTACATCTTTTTGGGGAAAAAAAAAAAAGGATTTCCAGAAAATACCACTACCTATGACAGGAAGGCTACAATGAAGCTAGACTATGTAGCAGTGGCTGTGACTGTAATAGAACAACTGGTAGCAATAGCCACTGAGAAAACTGTAACTGGGGACCTTATGACCCTAGGGTTCTGGCCAAACAAAGTAATTCAACAAAAGCAAAATGGCTGGGGACCAGCCAGTGGTATGGTGGTTAAGGTGCTGGACTCCCCCATTGCCAACCATGGTTCGAGTCATAAACCCGGTGGCTTGCTTTCTCACATTCCCTTTCTGTCTCTCTAGTCAAATTAAAAAATAATAATAACAAATAAAATTTTAAGAAAAGCAAAATGGCTACATGTATGGTGCTGTCTGCCATACAGATAAAGAGGGTATGTATATTTAAAAAAAAAAAAATTGAAAATGACAAAGAATGAATTAGTTGGGGGCCAGCAGGTGGCATAGTGGTTAAGGCACTGGAACTCACACATGTGGACTGTAGTTCGTGTCCCAGTCCCAGCAGCTTGAAACTCATGCTGGGCACATGTGCATGCGTGTCCAAGGTCCTGAGAGGAGAATGGAAGAGAAGGGATTGTGGTATGCCCTTCCCTGCTGGGACGTGATTTCTTGTTCTCTCTCTCTCTCTCTCTCTCTCTCTGTCTCTGTCTCTTTGGTAAGCACACACACCCTATAGCAAAAATCTCTCTCAAAAAAAATTAGTCAACCATAAAAATTAATAATTATGAAAACAAAAAGAAGAGTGCTCAACTTATTAACTGAAAATCACAAAATGGAAAATTAATATTTTTGTGATGATTACAACTATGCAAAAAATGTAGGTACATGTGTGGGAAGTATAATTCAAAAACAAAAACACCATGGAGCAATAGTAGTGGAGTTTGGAGTGCATTCACTCTTTTTTAAATTTATTTATTTAACTGCCAGAGAATACATGTACTCATCAAAGAGAGACAGAGTGACAGAGAGAGGAGAGGAGGAAACCACACACCCGGCAGGGCATGGTCACGCTGCCATTCCTTCTCTATTTCCCCACCCTCTCTCAATTTGGGGCATGCATGCACACACACTCAGCATGTTTTTCAAGGTACCAGGGCCAAGATTCTAAAAACAGTCACCCAAGTGAGATCAGACTCCCTTAACAAGTAGGAACACAGGGCCAGCCCAACTCTTTTGCCGTGGAAAGTGGCTGAAGGAGGTGACCCTCTAGCCAGGCTGCCTAGTCCCCAGCAGCAGCCAGCCTTCTGCTCACCTCACCGGCTTCGGCCAGGCTGTCCTCCTTCTCCCGCAGCTTCTTGCCCACAGCGTCCAGGCTCTGCTTACACAGCCTGTTGCGCTCCAGCTGCTCCTTCATCTTCTCCTCCGCTGTGGCCTCCCGCTCTTGAAGCTGCCGGATGCGTGTCAGGAGCTCCTGGTTGCGGTCAACCTCACGCTGTCAAGAGGGAAGAACTTGGCAAGTGTGACATGTGGCCCCCAGGGAGATGAGAGCAGGAAGACATCAACCCCCATGCCTCTCTCAGGACAGACCACAGAGGCCCAGAGATGAGCTGCGTGGGACCCATTAGCAGAGACAGTGGCAGAACCAGGCCAATATCTGTGACCCTGATTCTGATGCCAGGGCTCCTGCCATGGCAGCAGGGTGTGTGTATGAGAAGCCAAGATCATACCACACACTCCTCACACTGACTGCTCAATGATCGTCTTTGCGAGAAGGAGACAGATCATGGAAAATCTAAAATTCAGACTTGACCTTGGAAAGAAGCTGAGCTTGTGCAGCACCAGCAGATTCTGTCTACCTGCACTCAGGACATCATTAAAATGAGTCAGTATTCCCCCAGTGAGCAGAGACTAAAGCAGAGACCAGTGTGTGGACATGAGGCTGCAGACAGAACAGTTTACATGGGACTCAAATCCGCCATCTCACGCAAGCCTTCAGAGCCACTGTTACTGACCTCGGGGAGAAGGAATGGCGCGTGCTGGTGAGGAAGGGACAGGAGGTGTGAACTGCGCTCACACCTCCTCACTCCAATCACCCACAGAGACATAAAAGTACCTTCTGAGCCCCTAAGAAGGGACTGCAGAGGCAGAATCCTGGCCACGTGGAGCCTGGTGACCTGGTGACCTCTCGCCCTCCCTTTGTATGGAAGCTGCCTGCATGAGCCCCCTTCAAGAACCAGGTTCTCCAGAGCCTATCTGACTCAGACCAAGTGCTCAGACACTGTCCAGGACACTCCAGCCCCAAACCAAGGAAGAGTCTAATAAAACGCAGCCTCCTTGAGAAGAGGCTGACCCATACATCAAAGGGACAACAGGGGACAGGAGCTGCAAATATAGCCTAATAACAGCTAGGGGCCCTCCATAGGGGGGGGAGGGGGGCGAGAATGCAGGATTAGCGGTCAGCACTGTCATGGCCAGAAGGTGGCAACTCTATGGTGCTGCCAGTCCCAAGCACAAACATTCAGGCAGGTCTACAGATATCTATGTCATACCACCTGGCAGGTGTTACCAAGATGAGACTCCCACCTGCCTGTCCCATCCACAGCCAAAACTAGTAGCCCCTGAAAACCAAGGTAGATTCCCAAGCCCTCAAGGAACAACTGGAAACTAAGAGTTCCTGGGGTCTCATTCAGATGTGCCTGTGACCAGGGAAAGAAGGCCTTTTGGAAGATGGCTTGACCTCAGCACGAGGCCCCAGCATGAGGTCTAAGTTCAGTCACCCCTGCATCCTTATCCTTGGATGTCCCCAGAAAAGACCTTCAGAGATGCTGCACTGATTCCTCAGTCATCCAAGCTCACAACTCATGCGGGACACTGGATATCCTGGGCAGAGTCAGGCAGCCCCTATCATTAAGGGACTTGTGTCCCAGAGATGCCCCAAATTCCCAACACCATTCCTTCTGCATGACAGCAAGGGCCATGCCATCAGCATGACACTTCCCTCAGTCTGATGGCCCCTGGTGCCACCCCTCTATGCCTACCCCTAAAAAAAGAGCACTTCAATCTAAGAAGGTTTCTGTGGCCTCTCCCTCTCCTTCCTAATTCTTCCAGGGCCCTACTAGCACTGACCTGGTGGTCAGCATTAGCCCTGCCTCACTCTGAGTGGCCAGATGGCCAATTCGAGGTGGCAGCATCCCACCCTCAGGCAGTCTCTGGGCTCCTTGAGCCCATATAACATGTTGCAGGTGGGAGTCTGCACACCAGGTTCAAATAACGCCAATGAGCATCATACAGGGAAGATATCAGCTATTTTTACAGGGACTAGGAAGATGTGTGAATACGCCATATAAAGCAAGAACAGGGCCAGATATCTGTCCTCATAGAAAGGACCAGAAGGCCAGAGAGCCTCTCTGGTCTAATGCTCTGCTTGCATCTTGGCATCATTTCCACAGCTGATCAGCACTTACTGAAAAGCCTGGCAAAGAGCTGTTAATCAAAGCAAAGGAAGCAGAGTATCCATGCACTAAGTGAATTAAGGAAAAATCTCCTATCTTCCCTGAGTTAACAAGGGTTGTGTTTTCCCAGCTGCCTGGGTAAGCCAGGAGAACCACAAAGCAACACTGAGGCTGAAGGGGTCTCTGCTCTGAGGCCCTACAACAGTTCTGGCAAGACCCAGCCTGGACCCAAAACCCTAATGCAACCTGGTGACTTTCTAAACCTGTCACCCAACACCATCTGGTATTTCTGCACACCTACATTCCTCTTCTTCCAGTGAGAAGAGGAAACCAAGTGGCCCAGTGGAGTGAGTCGGCCAGAACCATAGCCTCGCTGAAGAGCAGACACAATGGGACACCCTTTGCACTGCCCCAACTTCATGCTACCCTCTCATGTGACATCAAGCACAGGTGCTATCAAGTCCATCTCATTAGGTGGCCTCAGAAAGACCCTGGAAACCCTAAATCAGAGTCTGGGACTTCCTGCCGCTGGGTCCTATCGCTTACAGTCTGTTAGGCAGCACGCACAGCACCTGGCCCCACCTGAACTCACCTCATAGTTCCTGGCGCTGGTGCTGGCTGCTCGCTCCAGCTCCACTCGAGCTCTCTTATGACTCAGCTCCATCTGCATCTTCTCCCGCTCCACCTGGATCAGATGGGACTTCGAACGGATCTGTTCCGCTCTTTCCTCCAACTGTGCAGGACACACGCAAAGAAAAAACAGAACACCCAGTAGCTGTGTCAAAGAAAGCAAGTGGCTCAATTCAAAGACACATTCACTGAGCGCCCATGAGGGTGGAAGGATGAAACTACTGGGCACCTGGTTGAGATACAGTTGAAGAAAACAGCAAAGAGATAAGAAAGAATGAGATGAAGATGTTAGGAGCACAGTGTGTAAGCTTGTTTTAGGAAAGCAAATACATTTGTTTTCTATTGCTGTGTAGCAAATCACCACAAATGTAGTGGCTTAAAATGTTATCCATGGGGACCAGCAGGTGGCGTGGTGGTTAAGACGCTGGACACTCCCATGTGGCCAACCACGGTTCAAGTCCTGAACTTGGTGGCTTGCTTTCTCACTTTCTCACTTTCCCACTCTCTCTCTGTCTCTGTCTCTGTTCCTCTCTCTGGTCAAATTAAAATAAATAAATAAATAAATAAATAAGTTAAAAAAAAAAATGTTACCCATGGCCCAGCGGCAGTAGCACATGCTGGATACTGTTATTCAGCAGACTTAGGCCACATGGGAGACAAAGGTTCAATTTCCAACCCACCCCATAAAGCCCTATGTGGTGGCACATACCTGTGGTCCCAGCTACTCAAAAGGCTGAGGGAGAACAGTGGCATGCCAAGACACTGCCTAAAACAATCCCCCCCATACATACACACACACACACACACACCACATACAAACATAAAAACTTTTTAAAATAAAACAAAACACTGGGACCGGATGTAACATGGTGGTTGGGATGCATAGGCAAAAGCAATTCAAGTCCCAGACCTGGCAGCATGAGAATCATGCCAGACGTGTGTACATGCATGCCCAAGGTCCCAAGATGAGTATGGAGAAGAGGGGACTGTGGTGTGGCCATTCCCCTCTTAGGGAACGATTTCTCACTTTCCCTCTCCCTGTATCTCTGTAATGAGCATGTGCCCTATAGCAAAAACCTAAATCAATCAATCAATCCCCTCCCATTTATTGTCAATTCTGCAGATCAGAAATCCAAATACTCATGGCTGGGTTTTAGGATCAGGGTCTCCCAACGCTAAAGCTGACACTGTTGGCCAGGATGTGTTCCCATCTGGAGCTCAGAATCCTCTTGCAGGCTTGAGGTCCAGTCTCCCCACTGCTAGCCTTAGCTGCTATCCATTCTGAGAAGCTGCCCACATCCCTTGCCACTTCATCTCCAAAGCCAACCACAGCAGGTCCTTCGCTCATCAGATCTCTCCCCTGCTCTGCATTTGACTTCTCTGTCTCACCTGGATTGCAAGGACCAATGTGATTAGGATAGCTCCACCCAGGTAACCCCCCCATCTGACTTGAAACTTAATGATATCTGCAAACACTTACTGCACCGATACCCCTCAGTGATTGGATAACTAAGAGAATATGTAGGTGAGTGTGTGCCAGCATTCCAGAATTTGAGAGCCACCTTAGACATCTGCCCACCACAGAGGGGTAGGGAAATATAGGTGATTCAAACCTGAGGGCCCAAAAGACACACCACCCAGTTGCAGGATCTCTGACTCTTCACACAGGCTAGATGCCTTGCAGTTCAATATCTCCTGCAGAGTCTTTATTGAATCAGAACCTTCCTTTTAAACACATTCTCAAGGAATTTATGTGCATATTAAGGTTTAAGAAACACTGAGCTAGAGTGGTAGTTCCCAACAGGGGACAGTTTTACCCCAGGGAACATTTGGCACTGTCTGGATATACTATTTTTTTTTAAATTTTTACTCATACTCCATAGTTCTTTTTTTTTAAGAATTATTTTTATTTAACTTTATTTATTATTATTATCATTATTTTTTTCCAGGTTGATCCAAGAGAGACAGAGAGAGAGAGAGGAAGTGAGCAAGCAAGCCACCAGGTCCGAGACTTGAACCATGGTCGGCCATGTGGGAGTCCAGCACCTTTAACCACCATGCCACTTGCCGGCCCCTGTCTGGATATACTTCTGATTGTCACAGGAGGCGGCTGGATGTGTCTGCTACAGAACCCAGGAGGTAGAAGCCAGAGAAGTTGCTACACATCTACTGTGCACATGATAGTCCTACAAACAAAGAATTACCCAGCTGAATGCCAGCCGGGCCACAGGTGAGAAGCCCTGGGTTGGACTGAGGCATCTCTCTATCCTTCTCACCAACATTCTTTCGGGGGGAGGGGGGCAAGAAATTTTTATTCCTTGTATTTCTTTATAGTAGGTATTTCTTTGTGCCTACCATATTTATTCATATTTTTATCCCTACTATATTCATAGTATTTTATATTCTTTTGCTATGGCTTGAATGTATTTCCGAAAACTTCATTGAGTTGAGACAGGTTGTGATAGGATTAAAAGAGTGAAAAGTTAATTTAACTGTGGTATTAGAAGATAGAGCCTGAGGGCTGGCAGTTATGTCACTGGACTCCCACATGGCCACACGTGGTTCGAATCCTGGACTAAGTAGCTTGAAAATCACATCAGGCATGTGTGCATCTGTGCCCAAGGTCCCAGGAGGATTTGGAGGAGAATGGATTGCAGCATAGCCATTCCCTATGGAAGGTGATTTCTTTTTTTTTTCTTTTTTGGAGAGGTTTTTGCTATAGGGCATGTGCGCTCACCAGACAGACAGAGAGAGACAGAGAGACAGAAAGCGAGAAATCACCCCCCGGGGGGATGGTCACACCGCAGTCCCTTCTCTTCCATTCTCCTCTCAGGATCTTGGGCATGCACGCACACACGCCCGGCTTGAGTTTAAGCCACCGGGTCCGGGACTCGAACCACGGTCGACTACGTGGGAGTCCAGTGACACAGCCATTATGCTAACTGTTGGTCCCTGGGAGGTGATTTCTCACTTTCCCTCTCATCATCTCTGTCCATCTCTCTCCCCGATGAGCACATGTGCCCTAAGGCAAAAAACTCTTAAAAAAGAAAGAAAGGAAGGAAGGAAGGAAGGAAGAAATGTGCCCTAAGGCAAAAAACTCTTAAAAAAGGAAGGGAAGGAAGAAAGAAAAGAAAAGAAAAGAAAAGAAAAGAAAAGAAAAGAAAAGAAAAGAAAAGAAAAGAAAAGAAAAGAAAAGAAAAGAAAAGAAAAGAAAAGATGGAGCCAGCCCATGACCTAGAGGTTAAGGACCCCACGTGGCCAACTGCATGATTCAAATCTCAGCCCCCAAAGGCTTGGAAAACACACCAGGCATGTATGCATGTATGCCTCAAATCCTGACAGGATGGAGAAAGGACTGAAGCATGACCACATCTCATGGGGATCGGGGAGTGCTTTCTCCCTTTCCCTCTGTCTCTCTCGGGCAAGTCTACACACCCTCTGCAAAAAAAATAAATAAATAAAGTGGGGCTTTTGGAAGGAGGAGATCAGGTTTAAAGTCATCAGGGCAGGGTCCCTATGATTAAAGCCTGGTATAGGTTTATAAGAGACACACAAGATGGATGGTGGTACAGTGGTAAAACACTCTGTGAGGCTAACCTACATAGGAAGGTTCCAGGTTCATGAACAGAGACCTCCCTGAGTATGCCAGGCACGTGCATGCCCATGATCTGGGGCAGAGTGAGGCTGGGGATGGATTGTGGTGTCAGGACCTAGACAGGGGTGTTGTCTGTCTGTGTCTCTCTCTCCTGTTCAGGGAAGAAACAAACTTCATAAGACATAGACACAGGAACTCTCACTTTTACCCTATGTTACCCATCAGCAAGAGGATTTTTCTTTTTCTTTTTTTTTTTTGGAGAGGTTTTTGCTACAGGGCACGTGCGCTCGCCAGACAGACAGAGAGAGAGAGACATAGAGACAGAAAGCAAGAAATCACTCCCCAGGGGAGGATGGCCATGCCACAATCCCTTCTTCTCCATTCTTCTCTTGGGATCTTGGGCACCCACACACACGCGCCCAGCGTGAGTTTAAGCCACCAGGTCCAGGACTCAAACCACAGTCGACTACATGGGAGTCCAGCGACATAGCCATTATGCTAACTGCTGGTCCCAGCAAGAAGATTCTTAATAGATAGGGCCTCTGGACCATAGGCCTCCAAACCATGAGCTAAATAAACGTTTTTTTTTTTTTTTTGAGAGGTTTTTGCTACAGGGCACGTGCGCTCGCCAGACAGACAGAGAGAGAGAGACATAGAGACAGAAAGCAAGAAATCACTCCCCAGGGGAGGATGGCCATGCCACAATCCCTTCTTCTCCATTCTTCTCTTGGGATCTTGGGCACCCACACACACGCGCCCAGCGTGAGTTTAAGCCACCAGGTCCAGGACTCAAACCACAGTCGACTACATCGGAGGCCAGCGACATAGCCATTACGCTAACTGCTGGTCCCAATAAACTTCTATTTTTATATTATCCAGACTCAGTATTTTTTGTTTTTAGCAACAGAATGGACTAGAAGATTCTTTATGGTAGGAGCTTTTTCTTTTTCCTTTATTATTTTATTATTTAGTAAGAGCTTCTTTATTCCTACTACATTTTATTCTGTTTTAATTCCCACCTATTGATAATTGGGGATTCTTAAGTCTTCCCAACAAATTCACCAGTTTTTCTGTTCTTACTTCTATGTGGGCAGCCAAGTCTGAACTTCTCCAGAAAAAGAGCCCCCTTCTCTAGGACCGAGAGTCCCAGATACACTGATTGGTAGTCCTCATCTTCCTGGAACACTGAATGTGACTTAGAGTTTGGTTTTATATTGAAATAAACTGATGTATGAGAGAAGACTGTGTACACTTCCAACTTAGAAAGATGGGGAGGGCACTGGCAGATGAGACATTCGGATATCTGCTCCCAGATTGCCCAGACCTGCTATGTTCGTGGACATCTCACTTGCCACTCAATAGAAGGAGAAAAAACGTGCTCAATAGGAGAGAAACTATGACAGGAGTCCTAAACAAGACAGCAGCAAGGTCAGGCCCCAAGGCAAACCTGGCAGTCATGACCCTAGGAACCATCTCACTCTGGCCACTGTGTTCAAGTACTGAACCATCACCTTAGGAGGAAGCCTTAGGAGTGAGCACTGGGAATCTCCAGGATCCAGTAAGGATTCTAGAGTCCTATAACTTTGATAAAGAGGTCAAAGTTGTTAGACACTTACATCAATAAAATTATGGAACTTTTTAATACCAGAGTTTCCAACTACTTACTTTGCTGGTGTCAAAAACAACTACTGGCCAGGGGAACCAGCAGTTAGCATAATGGCTATGTCGCTGGATTCCCATGTAGTTGACTGCGGTTCGCATCCCTGACCCGGTGGCTTAAAACCCACGCCGGGCGTGTGTGCGTGCGTGCCCAAGATCCTGAGAGGAGAATGAAGGAGAAGGGAGAGCCAGGCGTGGCCTCCCCCCTGGGAGGGTGATTTCTCGCTTTCTGTCTCTATGCCTCTCTCTGTCTGTCTGGCGAGCGCACACACCCTGTAGTGAAAACCTCTCCAAAAAAAAAAAAAACAACTACTGGCCAGCAGAAGGTATGGTAGTTACGGTACTGAATTCCACATGGCTGACTGTGCAGTTCAAGTCCCAGATCTAGCAGCTTCAAAAACACACAGGGAACATATGCATGTGTGCCCAAAATCCTGAGAGGAGAAGGGAGGAAAAGGGATTGCAGCATGGCCATCTACCCTAAGCAGTGATTTCTCACTTTCCCTTTCTCTAGCTCTCTGTCTCTCTCCAGCAAGCATATGTGTCCTGTGGCAAAAATCTAAAAAAAAAACAAAACAAAAAAACAAGGAAAAGAAAAGAGCATAAAAGACCTGCTCTCAGAATAAAGAAAATTTCTTGCTAAGAAAGGGCAGTGAGCAACTGGTGTTCTAACAAACATACAATAATCCAATTATTCAATAAATGAATGCACATGAACACACCGTATGTTTTACCAAATGTTGCACCAGCCTCATCAGGGATCCAAAGCAGGAGGAAGCCACTGGCTCATCAACACAGAACATCATCACAAAACAGCTCAAGTTACACAGAGTGGACAGGAGAGGAGGACACCAGCAGAGAAGCCAGCAAGGAACCTATAGCCATCAGTGGGGGCAATGGCAAGACCAGGACATCACTCTATCCTGGGGAACCAGGCACCCAGGCCCCAACTGAGACTGCATCCAAAATGCTTTGGAGCCTAAAGTCCTTCAGGAAACCTGACCTCTCGCAATTGTGTCTACAGTTAGCATTCCTAAGAACATTGAAGAAGTAAAAAGTGGCATAATCAGAATGAAACTATAAAATCACCCTAAGATCTGCAAAAGGCCCCCAGAGTTTGAGACCATGAAACACTCGGGTTCTCTACACTCTGTCCCCGCTTCTTGCTGGCTGACCAGACCCCTGTATTTGTATCACGGCCTCCCCATATCATACCTCTAGAAGGACAGATGCTGGCTGGACAATACCAGTACTCACACTCTCCAGGCAGTCTGGGTTTTGTCCTCGAATGAGTAGACTGGCTTTCTGATCCCTCCATTACTGTCTGTGAGGTCACTAGTGTGGGGGCAATGCTAAGCACCAGACTGAATCTGGGCTGCTAACAAAGCAGGCCTAAAGCCAGGCCCTGGCAATTACCCCAAAATGATGAATGCCCATGATGACATCTGGAACACATAGCAGCTGGCCTCCAGGCTGGGCTAATACTTACAGAAGGGCTAATACACATAGCTGACCTGCCTCAACTACGCAGAACTTGAATAGGCCCTACCTAAACCCAGGTACCGACCCAGAGTCTCCCATCTCAGCACATGCCACTCACCTGCATACTCTGCTGGTACTGCATCTGCAGAGAGCCTGGGGCAGAGGTGGAAATATCCAGCCCTGATCCTCCCTCCACTCGCTGAGAAATGAAATTATTCAAAGACCTCAGTGTAGATAAGACAGTGGTGTTTTCCCCCAGGTCTTCCATGGTCACGTTCCTTCTGGGGGAAAAAGGAACAAAGGCAGGGTCAGAGTCAGCCTTTCCATGCACCATCAGCTGCCATAGTCAAGGTGCCTTTTTACAGCCCCATGCACCTAATGTCCTCTCAAGAGCCCTTAAAATATTCATGTTCTTGACCAGAGAAGATATGAGGCATAAAAACATGTCACCAAACCTCAGCCCTTGAGCCACTGAGTGCCAGTTTACACACGGGACAAACGGACACCTGGAGGAAATGAGCAGCAGTCAGTGGCATACCCCTACCCCACCCCGTAAGCCCTCACATCAGGTCTGGTCTCTGGGGGTCAAAAACAAAGCATGCAACAGTGGCAATAAAAATGATGATCACAGCATTGCTAATTATCATTACATATTAACAAGGATGTTAGTAAGTATTACTCTTTTCCACCAGGTACGAAAAAGAAGTTTCTGACGTTGCCTGGGTACTTAAACTTCTTGAGCCTCAGTTTCCTCATCTGAAAACTGATTATAGTGAAACCCACTTTACAAAGTTGTGAGGATTACAGTCAATGCCCATAAAAACTGGTAAATGGTTTAACTCTTGTCACAGTTTAACTAGCACTCTGCTTATAAGTTTATATACAACAGTTCCACATTCACAATAGGTTGGTGAATCATATCAAGTTTTAGAGATGATTACAGCTGAGGACTCAAACAGAGACAGAACTGATATTGGAGCCTGGGTCAGTCTGACTCCAAAAATTGCATGTGTTCCACAAGCCAACGTATGAAAGAACTGAAGACAAGCAGCAAAGACCTTCACAACCCCAAAACCTGTGCTTAACACCATCACACACCAGATCTCACACCAGGCCTCGTATCAGCCAAAAGGTGTGAGACACTAACCCTAGATACATTTAACAGCCAAAGGCATAATAAACTCCTACAAGTGCATACTTTTCCTCCCTTAGGGAAGGAAGGCCTGTCACTGATTTTCAGTATTAGACTGAAAACACGTCCCTCCATGACTTTACTCCCCAAAAATGACAGTGAGGAATCTTGGTCTGCCTCGGAATTTCCTATGTAACAAGAAACTTGGCCTGGCTTGAGTTCTCTAGCTTATGGTTCTCACTCCTCTAACTCACAGGACTGGAAGACAGGACAGTGCTATGAGCCTGGTAGACAAGGCCTGTAAGGCTGGAGGCCACAGAGCTCCCCTCTGGAAACCCAAATCTATCTGCCAAGATCCGTGGAGGACCACACTTTCCATTGCATGATAAAAACTTCAGCTGATAGAACCTCTTCTCCAAACGCCGCCCCCTGTAAGAACTGAGGCAAGTATTAACACAAGGCAAGAAACGCCTTCACTTTGCACTACATGGAACTAAGCTGCTCCACAAGGCACCAGTTCAAACTCCATCCGCTACCCCAAGAGGCCCAAACTTTCCAAAAATCTAAGTAAGGCATTGAATCCCACCTGCTGCGGACAGAACCCCTGAGTTGGGGGTCACGAGCACACCGCCTCCGGGGGCTGTGGAAAGCCATGGAGTGTAGAGGAGACACCCAGGGCCCCAGCACCTGCCCTGCTTCCCCAACCCACATAGGGACCAGACTCCAGCTCTGAGCGGTGTGTGGCTCCTCTGCCCGAGACTGAAGTTGCGGCAACGACTACCACGGTATTACGGCAAAAATGTGATGTCGGGTTCAGATGCCCCCGAGGAGCCGCCTCCAGACCTGAACCTGGAGACTGCAGGGGAGCCACCCTCGTGGACCCCAGCTACCCCTGACTTGCTTTAGGCCAGTCCCTTCCCGCTGCCCTCTCTGTGGGCTCCGAGCCAGCCCCAGTCAGTGCAGGTGACAGGACGGAGATCGCGCTCGGGGCACTCAGAGGGATGAGGGGACCTGGTGGAGGCGGTACCCGACCTTGGTGGGCCTACAGGGCCTGCCCGGGCCGCAAGACCCCGGCCGATCACCCGGCTGCCCGCCGGCAGCTCACCTTGGCCGCCTGAGCCACTTGCCGCCGCCACTCGGATCTCCCTCCTCACCGCCCGCCCACTTATCGCGAGAATCGCGCCTGAGCTCTCGCGAGAACCGGAGAGAGCCCGGTGAAGTCCCGGTGGGCTGGTAAGCTGTCCTGGGTGCTGAGTGTGGGGCTGTAGGGAGACTTCCGAACCCAAGACTGGCCGACCATTTGAGAGCCCTCACCCGGCTGGACGCTTCCACCGAAGCTAGAGTCCCGCACCGTAATGTTTGGGGTTACACCGCCGGACGGTGGCCTCTTAGGGACTTCTTTGTACTCTTGTCTCTTCCCAGGACCCAGCTACAGCATTTGCTTGAATTAATACGCTCTTTTCCGTTTCTCTGGGCCCAGTGGAAATGCGAAGTATCTGTTCTACTCCTCCACCTGCCTAGCCCTCTTCATGGCCTCAGATCAGCTCCAATAGGAGGAAGCAGCACCTACCATAACGATAGTGCCTTGGCCTAGCCTTAAACGTGGGTCCCTTCCTGAGAACAGTGTGTTTGTTATCGGATCACCCCTGAATTATGGCGACCTACAACTAATGTTTCGTACTCATTTTAGAATGCTCACCCACCATTGATCTGCCCTTGGCTCTCCTCTAAGGTGCTGCTCCTGAGAGTGTGCGCTGAATTGTCTATTTTGGGTCAAAAAAGGCTTTCAAGGGTGTATGCCCTGATAAAGACCTGTGATGGGAGCAGAGTGTGGTAAAGGTAGGGTAGAGATTCTCCAAATTTAACCACAGGAAAAGTGAAAGTATCTGATCTGCAGGTTACTACTGGGAGCTAGGCTAAGCCCTAGAATGCTGATGGACATTCCTGATTATCTAGCCTTTCCCCCCAGGCCCCTGGAATTTAATTATCTCAGGATGAATGCACCTTCAGGAAATGGCTTTGAAGAAACCAGTTGATTTGTTTAAAATAATAACAATGAAAATTTAAAGCATGTAAATCCTTAAAATAATGCAATCTATAGTCTTTATAAAGCTGCACCAAGTTCCCAGAAGAGTAAAAGAAAATAAATGAACACACCACATCACTGCTTGCTTTGGCAATTACCTTTATGGTCTTAGGAGCCTGAAGTATTGACAATATATATTTCTAGCAAAACCAAAGCATACCCACCCCATGCATAAATTCATACCAGATGTCTTCACTAATTGCTCTGGGAACTCTCACTACTTAAAGAATGGATGCATTTCCAGATTACTCATCAGAGATGGAAATTAATCCCTAGATGGAAATTTCAGATTTTTCTACTTTACTCTACATAGGCAAAAGTTAAATAAATAACAACTGGAAGTTTATGTATTGTATTCATAGAGCAATAGTGGAAAACCTATGTCTCTATAATATCCTAACAGTCTGAGGAACTTACATAAAGGCACATGTGGGTGTATCCATGTCTCTCAACAAATCCATTTTCTCCCTTGCCTCAGATTTTACTTTTCGTTTTTCAATCTTCTTTTTCTTGCTAACTTACTCTTTACAAACCATGATATAAAGACTTTTTTAGGGCCAGCAGGTGGCATGGTGGCTAAGGCACTGGACTCTCACATGGCAGTGGTTTGAGTCCCAGAACCAGCCACTTGAAAATGACACTGGGCGCTTGTGTGTACAAGCCCAAGATATCAAGACTAGAGAAGGGATTGTGGTAGTGAAGGGATTTCGGCTTGGCCCTCTCCCCTGGGAAATGATTTCTTACTTTCCCTCTCTCTCTTCAGCCAGCATGTGTGCCCTATAGCAAGAAATTCTTTTAAGAAAAAACAGGCCAGCAAGTGGCATGGTGGTTAAGGGCACTGGACTCCCACATGGCTGGCTGCAGTTTGAGTCCTGGACCTGGTGGCTTGCTTTCTCACTTTCTTGCTCTCTCTCACCCTATTCCTCTCTGGTCAAATTAAAATTAATAACTAAATGAAGTTAAATAATTCTTAATAAAAGGTCATTTTTTAAAAAAAGAAAAAACAGGTACTGTGCATGCATGCACAAAATCCAGACAGAATGGAGAAATAGAAAAGGGTTTGTGGCATGACCACACCCCACTAGAAGATACTGTCTCCCTCTCTGTCAGTCTCTCTGGCAAGCACATGAGCCTTCTTACAATTAAAGGGGGAGGAGGAGGTTGGCCCCATGATTGGTTCAGTGATAATGTGTTGCTCAAGAGAAGCTAGATCCCACGTGGCAACAACGGTTCAAATCCCCTTCTATCCACCTAAAACACAATGGGCAGGCATATGTATTTCCAAGGATAAAACTGGCTGGGAGGCTGGAGGAAGGTGAACATAGTATGGCCACACCCTGTGGCCGGTATGTATCTCTTTTTCCCTCCCTCCCTCTCACACACATGCACATGCACTCAATTATGAATAAAAATAATTTTGGGGCAGGCTACCAGGTGACGTGGAGGTTAAGGCACTGGATCCCACATGGCCAGATGCACGGTTTGAGTCCTGGATCTGGCAGCTTGAAAACTGCACCAGGTGTGTGTACATGTGTGCTCAAATTCCAAAGAGAAGAATGGAGAAGGGATTACAGCAGGGCTATCCCCTCTGGGGGTGATTTCTCATTTTCTCTCTATCTGGTGAGTGAGTGCACATGGCCTACAGCAAAATATAATACTTTTTTTTGTAAAAGTTTCCCCATCTGTCTTGTTGCATCTCCCAGATTACAACTCAGAACTCCCAGACATTCCAGGAAACAGCTAAGATTACACTTGTAGCTAAAAAGGACCAATGGCCAGCATGAAAATGGCAGAAGAAACTCTCACTACTTCATAGGGCCCTTCCTTCTGTGATACTCAGTGGCCAGGAGATACACCTCTGATGATTCTTTCCTGCTGGCTTCAGGTTTTACAGTCTTTGTATTCTGGAATTCCTCTCTCAGTCTCTTCTGTAACAGATGGCTTTGACTTCCAGCCCAGGTTTTACAAAGGAATGTTCCTCCAGGACATAAGATGTCCGAAGCCAAGTCTACCAGGGATAGGCATAGGCCAATGAGCCTGTCATGATCAAGGTCCCGGATCCCTGTGGCATTGGGGGCCATATCACTCAGAATCACATCTGCTTTCCCACCAGGAAGTAATTCTAGGATTCTCTGGAAGGTTCTCAGATCAGTCACATCAGCAGGGCACAGAAACATTGCTCCCTCCAGGGGAAATATGTGAAGAAGATCTACCCCAAGCACGAAGCCAACAGGAGAGCTGGGATCTAAGAAAGAAATGGTTAATATGTTATTTATATCCTAAACTTTTCATTAAAATACATGTAACAAAATGATAAAGTGTCAACACCAAGGAAAAGAACTAATGTGCAAACATGTGGACGCAAGCCTATTCCCACTATCTACTGCATCCTATAAAGACACATGGAGGAGAAGCAGCTCTTCACTCTACATCTGAGGAAACTGAGGCCCAGATAGGAAGTAACTGTCCCAGACTCATCAGGAGTGACAGGCAGACCTAGAGCCATACCTAACGACTTCTAACTCCAACTCTGATACAATCATTTCGCTGAGGTTCAGTCTCCATGAAAAAGCTCTTATTGCTGAGTACTCTTCTTGATAAAGTAGGAAATGATACACCAGTATACATAAAGTACCTAAATAAACCCATTCTCTAGACTATTCCAATTCCCTTTATTTATTTGTTTGTTTGTTTGTTTGTTTTACTACAGGGCATGTTCATTCACCTAGAGAGAGGCAGGTGGAGGGAGTGAGAAAGCATCCCCAAGGTGGATTGCCACACTGCAATCCCTTCATTCTCTGGGGATGCACAAGTACCTGGCATGTTCTTCAAGCCATAGAGTCTAGGTCTCTAAGTCATATAAGATCCAACCACCTTAACCCAATCAGCTGGCCCACAATTCCTTTTTATTTAATTTTTTTAAAAAGAGATTTCTGCTATAGGGCACGTGCACTTACCAGAGACATTAAGAAAGACAGAAAGCAAGCAATCGCCCCTCCAGGGGGGATGGCCACACCACAATCCCTTCCCCATTCTCCTCTTGGGGTTTTAAGAAGGTACACACACACACATACCTGGCATGAGTTTTAAGCCACTGACTCAAACCGTGGTTGACTATGTGGAAGTCCAGCAACATAACCATTACACTATCTGCTGGTCCCACAATTACTTTTAATGTACAAATTGCTAGAAATAAGACAAGAGATGAGGAAAATAGACATATCAAGTACAAAAATTTAAACCTTGGGCCAGCAGGCAGCATGGTGGTTAAAGGAGTTGGATCCTACATTGGCCAACTGCATGGATCTGAGTCCCCGGACCCAGCAGCTTGAAAAACATGCCAGGTGCATGTGCACATGTGCCCCAAATCCCAAGAGAGTAGAGGAGAAAGGACTGTAGCAGCAGCATGGTCATCCCCCTTGGGGGGGATGTTTTCTCTTGTTCTCTCGCTTTCTACAGTGAGCGCACACTCCCTATAGCAAAAAAAAAAAAAAAAAAAAAAAAGGAAAGGAAAGGAATGGACTATGTTGCTGGGAAAATGTGTCTTGTATTTCCAGGTAAAAATTGGAAGTCCAAGTATTTTGAAGAGTACCTCATTTTTCAAAGGAGAAAACCCTCGATTTTCAGTCCTGGAAAGTAGAACACCTCACTTCTCACACTCTTGAACTTTCCTTTAACACACCCATGTATTATAGCCTTAGCAAGTTTCTACTAAAAGCAAATGGCTTTGATTGCATTTCTGCCATTTCTTGGAGGGAAACATTTAGATACCCATGGACTCTTTGCTTCTATCACTTTTTCCAGCAAGGTAAACTAAGTTATTTTCCCATTTCTCCTGAGCGATTAGGAAAACAGAACCACTAAAAACAGTTATTGGGAGGTCTCAGGAGTAGTAGTCTCAGTGGTGGGAAAAGGAACTAAAGCTCCCGACACGAATTCATTGATTTAATCATAAATACCTGAATTCCAAAAAGAAAAAAAAAAAAAAGGTTGTAAGCCCCATGATGCATCCCAGTCACAGTTATAAGCAGAGTCCACCCAATGGAGCACAGGATTACCAAGATCAACTATGGTAATCACCATGGGGCTCATCATGCCTAGGCTCTACTTTCAACAAGTCAACTACAGTCGATTTTCTCACCAGGAACATGGGCACAAGTGTCCCAACTCCAAGGTATTCAAAGAGCTCTTTGTCAACTGTCCTACTGTGTAAATGCTAGTGCATGTGTACCCTGACTTGATAGCAGGAAATACAAATGGCAAGGATATTCAGCACAGCATGTGGTCGCTTCTTTCCACTATGATAAACTGAAAGCTATTAGGGAACTGCTTAAACAGCCACAGCACAGCCATTATATGGAATACTATACAGTTCTGAAAGAGGTTGGTTGGTCTCTTTATTAATCATGAGAACCTCTGTACATAGAAAAATCTTGGTCAAAACCCTAAAACATAAAAACTGAGTCCCTCAGTTTGACCCAGAGTAGAGTATCTAGGAACCAGGTCATTGCAGCCATTTCTGAGGCCTCAGAGGCAGCGGTCCCAGTGAGACTGCTAAGAAACCTTAAGCCTTCAAGGGACAAAACCTGGAAACCTCAGGGACTCATTCAATTGTACTGTCATGGAAAGATGTCAACATTAATTTAAAAAATAACTTCATTAGAGCTCCAAATTAGCAAAAAAAAAAAAAAAAAAAAAGAGTATGGTACAACATAGTATTTGAAAATGTAAAAAAAATACACTATATACACACACACACACACACACACACACGCACGCACACACATATAATAGATATAATACATAATTTTAGAAGGCTGTACTCCAATATATTAATGTCGCTATATGCTGTATCTATTAAGAGTTGGTGTGCTTGAATGCTTTAATGTGCTTCATTAAACCTTTCCACCTTGTCTTTCATTTGGTAAATGTGGGTATCCTACTTTTATCATTATTATTACTAAATAAGCAACTTGGAAGTACATTTAGAAAGTGGCTCAACCACTCCATAATCACTGTCAGAGGGTGGCTCAGACTCAGAGTGGCCAGGAGGAGCTGACAGCAGTATGAATGCCTCACCTGTGCCTGCAGCATTGACTCTCTGCACTGCCACCTGACTCCATGCACCAGGAGCTGCCCCACAGTCCAACACCCGAAGGCCAGGCTTCAGGATCTGGTGCCTCTCATTCATCTCCAGAAGCTTGAAGGCACTTCGACACCGATAACTCTCTATCTTTGCAGCCTTCACAAATGGGTCCTTTAAATGCCGTGTTAGCCAGAGGTGCTCAGCACCTGTCCGGCCCTTGTAGTGATGCGCAGCAGTATGGAACCTCTGACACCAAAAAGCAGCACATACCTGCCTCAAGTACCTGCTGAGAGTAAATGGGAGCAAGTGGTAAGCATCAGTGATTGACAGGTCACAAGCTTGGAGGACCCTTGGTTCAACACACTCATTTTACAGATGAGACACTGAGGCCCAAAAGGGAAGGTGACATGACAAGGCTACATTGCCAGAAATGCTGAACTGTGTTCCCCACAAACTCATGTCTCGAAGTCCTAACTCCCAGTGCCTCAGAATGTAACTGTAGCTGGAGACAGGGTCTTCAAAGAGGCAATCAAGTTAAAATGAGGTCAGTAGGGTGGGCCCTAATCCAACATGACCAGAGTCCTGATAAGAAAATAAGGACAGACACAAAGAGATGGAAAGTCACATGGAGACACAGGGAGAAGACAGCCTTCTACAAGCCTAAGAGGCCTCAGGAGAAAACAACCCTGCCCACACTTTAATCTTGGACTTCCAGCCTTCCAAATGTGAGAGAATAGGTCAGTGTGTTTATGCACCAGATCTGCAGTACTGTGAGAGCAGCCTGAGCAAACTATTGCAATTGAGCAGACATATATACCTGTTCTTCAAAAGTTGGATTTTTTTCCTTCTCCCCTGAAGGTTTCCTCAAAAGGAAAACTCAAACATCAATAAAAAGCACCCTGTATAGATATCAATAAAAAATGTCCAAGTACTGAATAACAGTACTGATTAAGTTCATTAAAGTAACATTCTTTGCCCATGTGGCAAACATTTCATTGGGCTCTGACACACTGCAAGAACACTCTTTGAGGACAAGTCCTTGTCCCTCATGGCTTCAGTGGCTAGCACAGGGCATGGCCTCTGACATTTCTTAACAAAAGTGAACTCAACAAGTAGACTGAAAGATAAGTTCCAAGATTATTTAGACAAGTTACACTTTCAACAGTTTTTTGACCACCCACCATAGCAAGGCAGGCCAGGAGCTTATACACTACTCTCATGTGACTCCCAGAACTTTACAGGGTTAAGTGCTACATCCATGTATCTATGGGGAAAAAAGTCATTACTCCCATGGCTCCAAACCCAGGGCTCCTTCAATACCACAGTGTACTAACGAGATCTGAAGACAGTGGCAAGTGGCGAATGGTGAATTGCTGTCTTCAAATGGTTGATGAGGTCTCACGGGGAAATGGTACAGACTGGCTCTAAACACCAGAACTAAGTATAACGGTTAGGGAAGGGGCGGGAGAGTGGAATTACAAAGAGCGACGAAATAAAGGCGTATCTTCCCCATACACCCCTGTGTCCGTCTGACTGGAGACACTGACCACCCCAGCCGCATTCCATGCCCTGGATTCTAGTCACATCGGCTTGCTTCTCAGAACCCCAGAGGGGGCGTCAGGCCTGCGGTGCGCTACCTGGAGCTTTCCCAGGCCGTGCACCCGCGTTTACGGCGCTTTCGGGGCCGAGGCTGCGGGTCTCCCAGTGTCCTGCCGCCAGGAGCCCGGGCCCGACCTCACGCCCCGAATGCCATGCTTTTCGGATGAGAACATTGGGGCGGCCCTCAACCACCCCGCTGCCCCGCACAGAAAGAGCGGCTGAGCGAAAACCCAGGCTCACCCGGCCATAGCGGAGACCACAAGCGCCTGCGATCGCGCCGCCGGAAGTGCCCTCCATCACTTCCGGCCCCAGAGCCCGACCCCGGAAGTGGCGCCGCAAGTGCGGAAGGCGCGCGAGTAGTTGAACTGTCTCGCAGAGCGGAGTCTAGCGGGAGTGGGTGGCTGCCGCCTGTCCGGGACCCAGGACCTGGCACGGACCTCTGGAAACCGCAGCTGGAGGACCAGCATCTGCTGAGCACCCGCTGTACGCGAGACAGACCTGCGCCCACGTGTATGGCCTCGTTCCACCCTGGTAACCACCTCAAAGATGCCCCGACTTCGGCTACAAAGTTATCAAGCGGGGCTGCCCAGCCTTCATATTACGTAGCTCTCTGAACCGGTCTGCTTGTAGCCCTTAGCGACAGCTACAGGAGCTGGACGCAACTACACTCTGGCGTCCGTCCAGTAGACCCAGGTTTGATGACCGGGTCTGCTGTTCAACCTTGGGTCAAACTTGACCTCTGAGCTTGCTCCTCTGAAAATGGAGAAACAGGTTTTAGCTTATACACTTGGGTCTATTAAAATGGGGTAATTTTTTGAAGTGATGTATACAGCCCATGCTTAATAAGTTATAACTGGCATTACTGGTATCATCATCAAAGTTTACTTGGAAAGTGGGGGCTTCAGTCATGAAGAGATCAATGTAAGGCAAAGTCACCACAAACCCCTGACCACCTGACCTACTCCCAGCACCAGGACCCAGCCTTAGGTACCTCTTCTGGGACACTGTAACTTCTGGAAAGGATTCTTGGTCCTGCTTCCATCTTAGCCAGGTGCCCCAGGCTGGGATATGGACAGAGCACTAGGTTGATAGGTCCTGGTCCTCCAGCAGGGACCTTGGCAAAGGCAGTTTTTCTTTGGACCATGCACACCTTTTGGAGTTAGAGCCTTCGTGACCTCCAGGGTCCTATCAAGGTGCGAGGTCCCACAGCAGTAACCTACTGCAGGAGGGAATTCCAGCCAGGTCTCACTGGGTGACACTGTCACAGTCCAGAGCCACGATTTTCCTGAAAATCTGGAGGCCTGATGCTTCACAGCGGCAAGCTAGATTTCAGAAGAAACCCCCCCTTTTTTTTTATTAAAAAGCCAGTGCCAAAGCCTGACGTGAGAACCACTGGAAAATCTGAATTGTTATTTTGGTACTGGTTCCACACTGGGGCCAGGCTGCCCTCTTGCTTGTACATTCAGCCTTGGTGCTTTTAGGGTTAGATGCAGAGCATGAAGAACCCTCTGGAAAAGTAGTGTTGTTCTCTGAAGGTAAGAGTGCCAAGGAGTTGGGAAGGAAGATAGGGCTGTCCTCTGATCTGCTGATCAGCCTCAGCCCCTCGCCCTAAGCGAAGAGCCTGAGATAGATGCCACTGGGTTCTGAGAGGCAGGCCTGTTTCTATCCTGAAAATCATTTGTTCCATGACATGTTTCCACCTGACATGAAGCAAGCCACATGACAGGCTGGGAAATTACCTCTAGGTTTCCTATCCCTATCTCCCAGAGGGTATTTGCCTTTCATCTGGCCACTGCCAGCACACATATTTCATCCCTACCCCATTCACACCCAAGTCAAGGCTGACCCAGCCATCTTGTTTTCCTCACAGGACCCAAGAGAACCATGGGCACATCCAGGCTCTATACCCTGGTACTGGTACTGCAGCCTCAGCGAGTTCTTCTGGGCATGAAGAAACGAGGCTTCGGGGCTGGCCGGTGGAATGGCTTCGGAGGCAAAGTGCAAGAAGGAGAGACCATAGAGGATGGGGCCAAAAGGTGAGGAAACAATAGGTCTGACCATGAACTGGCTTCTGCAAGGAAGTAGTTTGGCTGTAGGGCTGTACCCTAATTTCAGAACACTTGGAAATGTGTACCCCGGAACATGAACCCTTGAGCCTCAGTTTTATGTGAATAAATACTAATAGTCCCTACTTCCTAACATTGTGACAATAAAATGAGAAAAAAAAGTATATAAAAAACTTAGAACTAAGCCAGCAGGTAGTGTAGTAAAGTGCAGGTGGTACTTTCTCACTTTCCCTCTCTTTCCAACAAGTTCACAGATATGGGGGTAGGGAGGTGAGGAGGAGGGGGAAAGAATTAGCATATGTCAACTGCTGACTGTATAAGAGACTTCAAAGAGTTCCTCAGAAAATGGTATTAAAGTGTTTATTTTTGGTACCAAAAAAAGTGAAACCCATGATAGTTTTTTTTTTCCATAATGTGCATCTTCCATAAACTTTTTGAAGACCTCTCTTGTTAGTGTTGGCCATGTGGTGGTGGTGGTTTTTAAGACATATTTGGGAAGTTGTTGTGCATTATGGTTTGAGCCGAACCGTCCTGGCTTCCTCACTAGTAGCTAAAGAACACTCATCAGTCACTTGAATTCATGTTTAGCAGAGCTGATGGTCTTTTTTAATTTTTATTTTTTCTGTTTGCTATAGGGTGCATGCACTCACTGGAGAGAGAAATTGCCCTCCAGGAGATGGCCATGCCACAATCCCTTCTCCTCCATTCTCTTGGGCACTCACACACTGGCATCCAGTGTTTTTTTCAAGTCACTGGGTCCTAGACTCAAACCACACAGTGGGTCATGTGAGACACTGTGGCCTTAACCACACCACCTGCTGGCCCCAGAGCTGATGGTTTTTATCTCAGACATTTTGCACATGCAGTCTGAATGTTCAGCATAACCAGCTTCAGCCTGCAAGGTCACATAGTCCTCTAGACATCAACCTCTTTTCCTTCCTTGCCTCTCACAGGCCTGTGAGGATAAATGAGATAATCTGTAAACACCTCTAAGCACTCCACAAACTCCTATTCATGTTATTCTGAAAAAAGTTGTTGGCAACCTTAAAGCCACTTTACCTAGAGAGAAAATTCTGAACACATATGGAAGAGGCTCCTGCAGCGTAGGAAAGCTAGCATGCTGCAGCCCAGTGGCTTCCCTTTTTTAATTAAAACCCACAGTAAGAAATGTTTTATATGAAGACAACTTCATGCCTTTTTCCTGGTCTCACTACAAATCACAGGATGGTTGTGAAATTGAAGCCTTTTTTGTTGTTCAGGCTTAATTCACTTTATTAGATCACTTCACAGCTTTACTACAAAGGTCTCGATGATCTTAAGACTGATGCTTTGCATTTTGGAGGCCTCCTGCCAAAACTCCTTAGACCTCATAGCTGGGCTGGGGATACAACTGTCGCCATCCTGAGATCTCTCTAGGTATTTCAGTGTTCCCAAAGATGTACCTGCTCCTGGAGGCAGCTGCTCCCCCGAGTAAATTCTCTCTGTGACTAGTGCATGAGTTGTTTCCATGCTTCACAGACATTCTCTCACAGGGACAGGCCTACCGTTGGACTGAGGTCAGTTCAGCACCCAAGGCCTCACGCTGCCTACCCAATTTAGACCCATCAGCCTCACAGAACCTGTAATACTATACAATCTCTAAGAAGCTTCTCTCTGGCACCCATCAGCCAAGAGTATAGCGTGTGTAGCATACAGTCAAGAACAGGGGCACCCTATCACAAAGGCTATTTCACCCCTGCCCTTTGAGGTGAGAGGACACGCTGGGTGGCAGAAGCACTGTGGAGTTCCCCAAACATACATTTGAGGGACAGGAGACAGGACTCAGACAGGCTGAGACCTAAGGGTCCCAAGGTCCTAGCACTCTAGCAGCAGAGCCTCCCTCACCTTGGGGATGGCTACTAGGGCTGCCGGTTTCTTTATGTGCACATCTGAATGGAGCTGCTCCTGGGGTCCCAGGCCCTGGATTGCCCAAGAAAGGGCAGCAGGGATGTCACATCAGAGTCCCTGTCCCATTTCATCAGGAGAGTACACAGCCAGCCCTAACTCCCAGTTAAGAGCCAGTTAATATGCTCTCCTCACTTACATGCAGGGGGAGTGAGTGCACACCCACTCCACACTGCACATCCCTGGTGAGGGAGAGTCTCTCTTGGGACCTCCCCGTCTCTGCCTCCTCAGTGTGCGGAGGAGTGGCAGGCACTTGGGGACTTGGGTGTCAGGGCTCAGTGTGTCAGTACTTTAGGTCTGGGCTGTAAGTGTGTGGTACGAGCCCATCTTCTGAATAACCCCCCAGTACACACCTAGGACCCAGAGGAATGCTCAGAACCACTCCAGACTAAATCTGGGACTGGAAGCAGGATTGCTGCACAGCCTCCCACTCCCTCTCCCACCTCCCCACACCAGGGAGGCGTTCGATGCTCTGTGTTTTTGTTTAATTTATTACTCATCCTGTTCTCCATCTGCAGTCTGGGGAACCAAGCATCACAGAGATACCATCAGACACTTTAGCAAAATTGTAACAGTGTCATCTGCGTCTGTCTAATTATCCCAGCCTGTGAAATGGAGCTTTAGCTCCGTCACCGAGGAGATTATTGATATTGCATACACTGCCATGTACTCGGGGAAGATTAACTAAAATTAGTCAAAACATTAAATCAGTAGGTGAAGTTGAAAACGAAATCCGCCAGCCGGCTGCCAGAGAGGCGGGGGGGACCCCCCCGCGCCCCTCTATTTAATTTTA